TGAGTAGTATTCCATTGTGTAAATGTATCACAGCTTTTTTATCCACTCATCTACTGATGGACACTTGGGCTGCTTCAAAATCTTGGCTATTTTAAACAACGCAACAATGAAATAGGGGTATATGTGTTTCAGAGGGTTGGGATATATTTCCAGAAGTGGAATCACTAGGTCATAAGGCAATTCCATTTTTAAATTTTTGAGGTAACTCCATACTGCTTTCCACAGTGGCTGCACTAATCTGCATTCCCACCAGCAGTGCATGATGGTTCCCTTTTCTCCATCTCTTTGCCAACACTTGTTGTTTGTTGATTTATTGATGTTAGCCATTCTGACAGGTGTGAGGTGATATCTCATTGTGGTTTTAATTTGCTTTCTCTGATGATTAGTGGCATTGAGCATCTTTTCATATGCTATTGGCCAGCTGTATGTTCTCCTGGAGAAGTGTCTATATAGGCCCTTTCCCCATTTTTTAATTGCATTGTTTGCTTTTTTTGGTGTTGAGTTTTATAAGTTCTTTATAAATTTTGTCTTTTATTTTGTTATGATTTCCTTTGCTATTCCAGGACACTTTAGTTTGATGTACTTCCATTTGTTTATTTTTTCTTTTGTTTCCCTAGTCCCAGGAGAGAGATGAAAAAATATTGCTATGAGAAATATCTGAGATTTTACTGCCTATATTTTCGTCTAGGATTTTTATGATTTCGAGTTCAACATTTGTCTTTAATCCAATTTTAGTTTATTCTTATGTATGGTGCATGTATCTGTCTAATTTCCCCAGCACCATTTATTGAATAGACTATCTTTAGCCCATTGTATGTTCTTTACTCCTTTGTCAAATGTGAGTTGACCATAAAGGCATGGATTTATTTCTGGGCTGTCTGTTCTTTTCCGTTGATCTATATGTCTGTTTTTATGCCAAGACCGGGCTATTTTGATCACTATGGCCTTGTAGTGTAGTTTGATATCAGGTAGCATTATTCTTCCAACTTTTTTGTTCTTTCTCAAGATTGCTGAGGCTCTTTAGGGTCTTTTGTTGTTCCATACACATTTTTGGAACATTTGTTCAAATTCTGTAAAATACACTATTGGTATCTCGGTAAGAATAGCGTTGAAACCTATAGGTTGCTTTGGCTGATATGGACATTTAATGGTTAATTCTTCCTATTCATGAATACAGTATATGAATACTGTGTTTCCACTTATTTGTATCTTGCTCAGTTTCTTTCTTTATTATCTTATAATTTTCTGAGTACAGGTCTTTTACCTCCTTGCTTAAATTTATTCCTAGATATCTTTTTGTTGTTGTTGTTGTTGTTGCAACTGTAAATTGGATTGTTCTCTTGGTGTATAAAAATGCCATCAATTTCTGAATATTAATTTTGTATTCTAATTTACTGAATTCTCAGTTCCAGTAGTTTTTTGGTGAAGTCTTTAGGGTTCTCTGTATACAGTATTATGCTATCTGGCAATAATGACAGCTTTCGTTCTTCCTTTCTTAATTGAGATGCCTTTTATTTCTTCTTCTTGTCTGGTTGCTATCATCACACTGTTCTCTGTGTCTATATGTTATATTTATAACCATTTTTCTGAACACTGTATCTGATAAGTTGCTTGGCTCCATTTCATTTTGCTATTTTTATGGAGATTTCTCCTGTTCTTTCATTTGGGGCATGATTCTGTGTGTCCTCATTTTGACTGCCTTTTTGTGGGTTTTTTGTTGTTGTTTTTCATGTGTTAGGTAGATCTGCTATAGTCAGGAGGAGGCTAGCAGAGTTTATCAGGCCTAAACAGACCAAGATTTGGCCATGTGAAGGGAGGGCTCTGCACTGTCAGGTGTCAGGCAAAAAATTTAGTTCTTCATTAAGATTTTAAAACTGTATACCTAAAATGGTCTTCCAAAGGAGCCTCCTCTAGAACAAAGAGGCCACCTATTTTAAAGGCAATCCCACCTCTCTGTCCTAAGAGTTACAAGCTGCTATAGCTTTAAAAAAATTATTTCTTAAATCTTTATTGTTGAAAGTATTACATATTTCCCCTCCCCCTTGACCTCTTCTAGCTCACCCCTCCCCCTCAAGCCCTCACCACCCTATCATCTGTGTCCATGGGTTATTCATATGCATACAAGTTCTTTGGTTGATCTCTTCCCACCCACCCACTCACCCTCCCCACCTTCCCTCTGAGATTTCAGAGTCTGTTCCATGATTCTGTCTCTGGATCTATTTTGATCATCAGTTTATTTTGTTCATTAGATTCCACATATGAATGAGCTCATGTGATACTTGGCTTTAATCAGCAGGCATCTTCTGTATACAATTGGTACATAAAAGCAATCGCAATATAAAAAATTAAAACTGAAATTATATATGCCATTTAAGATCATTATTATTTAATTGCCCTTAATAATTTTAGAGAATAAGTCATTAAGAGAACCTAAAATTATTCTCATAAGTAAAAGTGATTTATTATTTTGAAAACATTGATAAAATGTACCCTTGAAGTTAATGTATTCTATTTAATTCTTCTCATGTAGTTATCTAGACACTTGTAGAGTCAAGGCTTTGGTTCTTAATAGGTGATTTAGCCTTAATTGTGATGAAACACTGGATGGTTCCACTTTAACAAATTCTAGTGCAGTTGGAGCCAAGAGCTTTGAACCACCTATTGAGTGTAGTTATTTCTTTATACCCAAATTACTTGACATATGTTATTGCTTTTATAATTGAATGTTGTGCTATTTAAAATTCTTTGCAAAATACTGAAATCTACGTACATGTTTTAAAAGTTTGTTTCTAGGTGAAAAATAATTCCAGACAATTATCTTCCTATTTACAAATTGTATATGGAACTCAGCTATCCTATACTATGCGTAATTTCTTTCCTTAATGGGAACATGTGATTACACTCATATACTTTTACTTTCTGATTTGGAATCATGTTTTTTTGAGTTTGTTCCATCAAACTTTATCTTTTACTGGGTGATGCCTTCAAAAAGAGCAGTCATCAACAAATACATAAGAAAGCAACTGACTGCTTTACTTTGTATTGATAAGTATCTTACTAATTTCCATAAAATACGATTAGTCATTTATCTACATGATCTTTTAAGTGAAGAGATGTTGAATAAAAGGTTGGGGGTTACCTGGAAAGATAATAGATAACTTAGAATCTCATTTGTTAGGTGAATTCCCTAATCAGAATAGGCTATTATCTTCAGGTATGCAGATTCAGAAAATCCTTCTCTTTTTTATTGTTGTTAATCCTCACTCAAGTATGTTTTTCCATTGATTTTTAGAGAGAGTGGAAGGGAGGGGAAGAGACAGAGAGAGAGAGAGAAAACTTCCAACTCTAGTCCAACAAGAAATGTAGACTAACTTGGATTTTTATTGGATTTACCAGGTGGGTCTAGGGTGAGGGTTCTCATTATGTGGGTCAGGCTTGTGTGCTTGAATTTCCCTCAGGTGACAAAGGAAGTAGCACCCATGTTTTCTTTTCTTTTTAAAAAAAAATATATTGTTATTGATTTCAGAGAGGAAGGGAAATGGAGAGAGATAGAAACATCAATGATGAGAGAGAATCATTGATTGGCTGCCCCTGCTCGCCCCCCACTGGTGATCGAGCCCTCAACCCAGGCATATGCCCTTGACTGAAATCGAACCGGTGACCCCTCAGTCTGCAGGCCGACGCTCTATCCACTGAGCCAACCCGTCTAGGGCAGCACCCATGTTTTCTTATCACCTTCCCAAAATTTGGGGAGAGTGGTAAAGGGGACTGATGATGTTTAAAAGCTGTCAGTATTCAAACATTAAACATGGAGTCAGACTCTTTACTATACCCTTTTCTTTGCTTCCATTGTTTTTTCTTGTATTCAACATATTATCTCCTTAAATTAACCCTTCCATTGGTTAAACTCAAAACTTCTTGGCTTGGGACCAAGTTTTTCTTTTTAAGATGTCTCCTTATTTTGTAATTGATACTTATTATTTTAAGTTTAATAGTTTAGTTCTTAAAAGGCAATTATAATTTTATGTTTTTAGGAAAGTGTGTGATAAGATAGCTGGGAATAGTAAGAAATTATTTAGAATTATCCAAACCTAATAAAGTAGTACATTCATAGCTTGCAGAATCGGCTTTCCCTCCTTCCTCAGCTGCCTAGATGCATCACTGAATGTTCAATTCTTTCTATTCTTAAAGCCATAAGCTGCATAGTTGAAATTGGCTGCTTATACCTGTTTCTATCACAGACAACTGCTCTGTCTAGCTCCCAAACTATGTATTGTGCCATTGGGACATGAAGAGAAAAATATCAGAAAGGAAAAAAAACTTGAGTAAAAGACCCAAAAATCCTGCATACTTATTATCCTCAACTCCTCGGCCATCTCATAAACTGCAGTGCACAGGATGAGGCCTTTATAAACATTCATCTAGTAACTAATTTTTAAGTGGTACAGCTTAGAGATGGGGCAGTGTGTGTCAGAGTGAAACCATCAGGTGGGAGGACACCAGACACCTGGGCCCCAGGCATCATGCTAGTGTTGCAACCAGTTCAGTGTTAAGATGAACAAATAATTTAACTACTCTGTGCTGACTTCCCCTGTAAAATGTGCAGGATTTAGAGCTTATTTTAGCTTTGAAATACCATGATTTTGTAGTTTAAAGGTAAGGCATTTGCTCTTGTGTTCTCTAAGAAGAGAAATTATAAATGGTAACATAAATCTTTATAATATTAAGTTATATGAAACCAGTATACTAATATTTTTGAGTAGGGGTCATTTTGTCTTTAAGTTCAATCACAAATGGTTTGAAAATAATATAATTTTTCTAATGGCTTTTAAGTGTCATCATAATCTTGAACATTTAATTAACTGTAATATAATTGAATTTATATTTGAAAATTATTTTGATAATAATACTCTTAAATAAAATGTTTTATATTTTCTTACAAAATATTTTAGCCTTCATATTTGTTTATCTGCCTATCTATTTATTTATTTTCAATTTAGATGGGTCTAGGAAAGACAATCCAGGCAATTGCCATCGCTTACTTCTATAAGGAGGAATGGCCTCTTTTAATAGTGGTCCCTTCATCTCTGAGGTATCCTTGGACAGAAGAAATAGAAAAATGGATCCCCGAGCTAGATCCAGAAGAAATCAGTGTTATTCAGAATAAAACTGATGTTGGGTAAGAACAACTTTCTAGTATTTATGGGGGGAAAGTGCCAAAATTGGTATATATCAAATAAGTCTGTATATTAAGTAGATTTATCTAGGGCTGAAAATGCATTTGTCATTATGGAAAAAAAAATTTGATTGCTGTGTTGGTACTGGGTGTTTAGGAGCCCTTCCTTTTCTATTAGGGGGTAGAGAACTGCAGAAGATTGACTCCCTCCTTTATCATCACTGGTGGTATATAGAAAGTGCAAAGTGACATGTTTTATTTTCAATGCATTTATTTGTCTATTTAATTTTACAAACTCCTTAGTATCATAGCACTGTACATACAAAAATGAATAAGACACATCCCCTGCCCTCACCTATCTTTTTTATATATATAAAAGCCTAAGCGACTGTCTAACCGGTAGCTATGATGCACGATGACCACCAAGGGGGCAGACACTCAACACAGGACTGCCGAGCTGAGGTGACTTGGCAGCTGCAGTTCTTGGGTGACACACCGGAACCAGAGAGGAAGGAGCCCGATTCTGGGGTGTGTCACCCGAGAACCGCCCTCTCACAATGTCGGATGTCGGAGAGCCGGTTTTAGGCCGATCCCTGCAGGCCAGGCCGAGGGACCCCACCGGTGCACTGGGCCTCTAGTGATATAATAAGGGGGATAAATATGTAAATGAATAATTTCATTATAGTATGATAAAGAATATTATAGACATTTGAATTATAGAGATAGTTCAAGAGATCAGGGATCACTTTAGCCCAATGTTTCTCCGCATGAGGTGGTACCCCCTCTTTTCCTTATACTTCATCGACCTAGGGCCGGGGGCATTTTCGTTGTCATTGTGACAGGGAATCTACTGGCCTTTAATGGGAGGGTCCAGGAATGTGAGATGCCCTTCAGGGTGCTGGACAGCCCTGAGTACTAAGTATTGTCCTGCTCAAAATCCCAGTAGCACCTGGCTTAAGAAACTGCTATCTTGTTTGTGGGAAGGCTTCCTGGAATAGCCAACTAATATTTGAGTATCCACTTTCTTCATGATCACAGGTGCATGAAAGCAAATGTTCTCACAGTTATCTTCTTATCCTAGTAAAATATAGCTTGTTGGATGTCAATGCTTCCAAAGAGCATTTAACCAAAAAAAGGTTAGATTTGGTTAACGAAATTTTAAATTTTGGATTAGGGTTTATTATATTTAAAGACTATAAAGTCTTAAGAGAAATTGGGTTTCAGTGGTGGTACCTTCTGCTCTTATTTTTCCTTGTGTTTCTTCCCAAAGCGTTGTATTGTTTATGATAAATTGGTTACTGAAATAGTATTTTTAAAGTACATGGATTTCTTTTCTAGGAGAATATCGACCAGCAAAGTGACGGTTCTGGGTTACGGTCTCTTAACGACAGATGCAGAGACTTTGATAGATGCACTGAACACTCAGAACTTCAGCGTAGTGATAGTGGATGAATCACACTACATGAAGTCCAGAAACGCAACTCGCAGCAAGGTTTTATTGCCAATAGTACAGAAAGCCAAACGAGCCATTCTTCTGACGGGAACTCCCGCTTTGGGAAGGCCTGAAGAGGTATTAAAATCCTTATGCTTGGGCTTAAAAAACAAACAAACAAAAAAACAACCTAGAAAACAGAATCAGTCGCCTGTGAAATGTTAAATTAGATTCCTCAAATGCCAAAAGAGCACTTTGGGAATTTCTAGACTGCTCTTAATGATTACATATATCTTTTACTGTGACTTTTATCTAGTTACATGTGATCCTTAGCCATGCTTGTATTTGCTATAAAACACACACACAGTTTTTACCTTTATTACAAATTTGTAAATAACACTTGTGTTCTTCTGGTTGTTCTGTGGACTTAATCTTCATTTTATCCTAAGTCTATTTTCCATTATAAGCTCCTTAGGATTGGAGTTGAATCAACTTTGTATCTTTTATAAAGATATATCTTTATATATTTTATACAGTATTGCATAACCTCTTTCTATTTCTTTTTCACTTTAAAATCCATGTTTGGGAAGGTAGAGAACCTAGGTGTAGACCAAATAGAGTATCTAATTAGAATAGAGGAGTCAGGCATTTGAGTGATGTCCGATTTAGCTTTTACTACTGTGAGAGGCAGGTGGGGTATGGAGTGATTAAAGGGTTGAGAAGAAGAAATAATGGGTGAAACTCTTATGAGTCTAAGGATTATTGGAACCCAGGGAAGCCCTGTCTATTAAAGCATTTATCTTAAACCCACATTTCAATTTTTAACATATACCCTACAAACCTATCCAAAAGAAATACAGATGGATGGATGGATAGATGATAGATAAATGTAGATGTAGTACATATACCTTCACCTACATATACTAGTATATTTTATATATGCACACATACACATACAGGCCTACATTGTAATTAATTTTTGTAATTACATAAAAGCTAGAAACCGCCTATATATCCATTAATAGGAGACTGTTTAAACATTTTACAGTATGGCCCAGGCGGCGTGGCTCAGTGGCAGGAGGTCACGGTTCGATTCCAGGTCAGGGCACTTGCCCGGGTTGTGGGCTTGATCCCAGTAAAGGGCATGCAGGAGGCAGCCGATCAATGATTCTCACTCATCATTGATGTTTCTATTTCTCTCTCCCTCTCCCTTCCTCTCTGAAATCAATAAAATCAATTAAAAAAAATTTTTAAATAAACATTTTACAGTACATCTACACAATGGGTTGCTATGTAACCTTTAAACAGAACTTTGTTATTATGGTACATTGCTCAGAATTTTAAAAACTAAGTTAAAAAAGCAATATATATGTACATTATGTCGAAGACATGTTTTGGGGGGACAAATTCTAGTTGTGTATGTATAATAGGACCCTATTCATGTGAATGAAAGAGAATATGTACATATACTTATGTAGACATAGAAAATGCATAAATGTATGTTTAACAAAAGGATGCAGTTATCCTGAAGAACGGGATGGCAGGAATGGGGGGTGGAGGGGAAGGAGGGACCTTGAGGAAGAAGAGGTAGATTTCTTTTTTTACTTTTTATTATTTTATTAACTGGATTTATCATTGTAATAATTGACTAATAATATTTCAACATACTGAGAACACTTGCATTGTTACAGCTTTTTATGCAGATTGAAGCTCTCTTTCCACAAAAATTTGGAACATGGACTGAATATGCCAAAAGATACTGTAACGCACATGTCAGGTAAGACAAACTATTTTCTATAAGCTTTAATCCTCACATATTTACTGTGCACATGCAGCTTGATTAGTCATTCCTTGTTCCAGTGTTTTTCAAACTTGTGGAATAATTTCTTCAAGTAAAATCTTATGCATGTGATGACCTATGTATGAAATTAAAAAAAAGAGTAGATAATGGCAATTTTTCTTCATTTTTAACCTTCCACTTACTTTATTTTTGGAATGATTTTTTTTTTTTTGTATTGACTAGCTGAGCATGCACATTATGGGAAAGTGACAGACAGCCATTTCCCTTTCCAGGTAACCAGTGTTGGCAGTTTCTTATGTATTCTTCTGGAGGTACTCTATGCATGAAAAAGCACACATGATTATATATATATATACACACACACAAAATAATAGTTCATTTTATTTCTACATATATAGTAGTATAATCTACACACTGTTCTGCAGTTTGCTGTCTTCATCTAATGTATTGGAGATTCTTCCAATCAGTTACTGAAAGAGCTTTGGCATTCTTTTTAAATATTGCTTGTGTTCCACTGTTTGGATGCACTATATTTTATTTAACTAGCCTACTGCTAATCGGCATTTGTTTGTGATCTATAGCTGTTGCATACAGTGCAGCAATGAGTAACTTGCACGTGGTCAGAGGCCGTGTAGTGGCAAAGAGCATGGGAGACTAGGGGAGATCAGCAGTGTTTTATATTCACATCCAGTGTTTACCAGATATTTCATGGTAGGAAAGTACCTTTACCTCCCTATACCTTAGTTTCTTCAGGTCTAAAAACAGAGAATGATATTTCTGCCTCAGAATTATTATGAAAATGACATGAGCTAATATTTATAAAGGGCTTGAACAGTGACTGGCACATAGTGAGAACTCAATAATTATAAGCTCTTTTAATATTTCATGTCACACACAGGAATAAATCTGTAAGATAAATTTATACAAGTGGAATTGCTGGTAAAAAGGCCATGTGCATTTTTATATTTTATATATTTTTTGACAAATTATGCTCCACACAAGTTATACCAATTGATATTCTCACCAGCAGGAAGATTGTCTCCCCACACTTTGCCAACATGTTCTAATATAAAATGTTTTATCTTCCTAATGTGACCTGAGAGTTTTAATGCATATTTGTTTTCTTATGTTATTAAATGCAGTCAAGATATTTTTATGCATGTAAAAGTCATTTGTGCTCTTTTTCAGTTAATTGTTTATGTTCTTTGCCCTTCATTCTACTAAATTTATTGGCTTTTTTTCATGTTGATATACTGTAAATCTTTGCATAATATAAAAATTAGCTCTTTGTGATATGAGTTCCTCAGACAAGATAGCACAACAAAAAAGAAAACAAAGACCTTTTCTACCAAAGACTGTAAATGTAGAAATCTTCAATATTAGTATAATCCAGAAACTAATTAAAAGGCCCAATATACTAACCATATGCAAATGGAATTTTTATAAGGAATGCAAGCATAGTTTAATATTAGGAAAAGTGTTAATGTAATTTACTATGCTAACAACTCAGGGAAAAACTTTATCTTCTCCATATATGCTGAGAAGTAATTTGATGGAATTCAGCATCCATTCTTGATTACATATAGTCTTTAATAATAAATTTAAGGTGTATATATGTGTGAGTGTAATTATAACTGTATATACATATACTAGAGGCCCACTGCATGAAAATTCATGCACTGGAGGGGGTCCCTCAGCCCAGCCTGCCCCCTCTCACAGTCCGGGAGCCCTCAGGGGCAGGAGGCGACCCGGTGATCAGGGGAAGGCGACGCCCCATCACACTTCTGCTGCTGCCACTGCCGGCAGCGCAAGCCTTGGGTGGCCCTGGTACCTGAGCCTCGGGCCGGCCCTGGGTGACTGGGGGCTGAGGGGACTGGGGGACATATGCTAATGTGAATGTGGTTTGGAGAAGTCTAGGTATAGCAGGGCTGAGGGGACTGAGCGCCGCCATCTTGTGGCTGTGGGCACTGCCATCTTGGAGGGCGTGGCAGCAATTAGCATATTCCCTCCTTATTGGCTGTAAGCACCACCATCTTTGAGGGAGGGCGATTAATTAGCATATTCTTTCCTTATTGGTTGTGGGCGCCACCATCTTTGAGGGCGTGGCAGCAATTAGCATATTCTTTCCTTATTGGTTGTGGGCGCCACCATCTTTGAGGGTGGGGTGGTCAATTAGCATATTCCTTCTTTATTAGATAGGGTGCAATATATATGTTTATGTATATGTGTGCGTGTATGTTTTTAAGCCCAACGCCACCATCACATGAAACACTAAAATAAAGGCAAGGATGTTCACTGTGACCACAATTTACCTTTATTTTAGAGGCACTATCAGTTGTTTCTCAAAAGAAAAATAAGAGGTAAATACTGGAAAGAAAAGCAATCATTTGCAAGACCTGAAAGGATCAGCTGAAAAATGTTCAAAACAAAAAAGAATTCATTAAGGTGTCCTAGCACAAAGTTGCTGTTAAAAATTCAGTCTTTCTCTACATAAATAATAAATAGTTTTCAGATACAATGCCAAATAGGCATGATACCAGATATTGTTGGCAGGCACTTACTCACAATTCCTGCAGACTATAAATGTCAAAGTTTGCCTACATAAGCAAACACTAACTGGATTAGGACTTGTCATAAACAGCAGAAATATATGCCTGTTCCTTTCTTGGTTATTAATACCAAAGTTGTTTCAAAGAAAAGATTATCTTTATGAAGTGCTTTATGATGGGAAGATTGTGGGCTATTTCCTGTTTACTAGAGAGAGCCATTTCAAGATTATTATTGTGCTTCTCAAATGGCATTTTCTTCTAGATTCCATTTCAAAAGTTTTATGTTATTCCTTTACTTCTTTACTTTGAAAGCACTATGACTTCATAGACTCTGATTCAAATCAAGTCACTTCCTGGCATTCTAAGTTAGTCTGTGGAATGTTAATTTTCCCCCATAATGTTTTGATTCTATGAAGGTGTCAGTTTCACACTATAATTTTGCAGAAAGCAAATTATGGTTAGTTATTCAGTTCTAGACTCATTTCATATTTGAAATGTCACGACTATATTCAAAATAAAGTTAAGTGAAGTTTGGGCAAAAATATAACTTTGCCATTATAAAGTTTATTAAAAAAATAAGTGATAACAAACAAATATGCTAATGTGAATGTGGTTTGGAGAAGTCTAGGTATAGGTAACCACCTTTGATTTGAAAGGCAGAGAGAGTATTACTCAACCAGAACATCCCGTACCCAAAAATCCCTTACATCATTCACTCTCCTAGGTTATATTTAGAGGAAGCTATAAATACAAATACGACTTGGAAAAGGCAGCACATTCAGTTGTCAGCCATTAGCACTTAGATCACCCAGCCCCCTCTGTCACTTTGCAGACATCTGCTGAGCTTAATGGCTTGCCCTGGATCTGACTTCCTCTTACTTTTTCACTGAGAAAGTAAGAAAGTCTTAGGGAATGGTAACTTCAATAAATGTCCTTTTACATAGAAAGAGAGGTCACATAGATAATCCAGCCAAGCACCCTGTTATCAGCAGTCACCTTCGAAAGCCACACTGTGGGAGGACATACTTGCCTTCCCTGATGTCATGCTTGAAGGTTAAGAATATCCCAGAATATCTTTATAGCCATTTATCAAATTTTCCTAAACTTTCTTTATCACTGTTATTTTGTGCTGGATTCAACTCATAGGAGAAATAGTTGTTTAAATTTTTATGAGAGGGAAAATTCTGGGTAGTAATACATATTAAATATATTTATAGCCTTTCCCCAAAAGTGTTAATTAATAGGTCATTGTCAGCTTCAAGAAATGTCTCTTATGAAATTGCACAATTCTTTGTCCTCAGCACTGTCACATTTAATTCTCATCCATGGCTAAATAGAGGTCAGGTCTATTCCATTTGCAAATGGTTCAAATCTGGGAGAAATAGTTAATATCCTATATGGCAGAGACAAGTTTGAAAAATAATTAGATAAAAATTAATAGCATAAATTCTGCACTTATGCTTAGAAAGTCTGTTTTGTGTGGAAGGGATTTGAGAAATTCCCACCTATTATTAGTAGTTCAGTTCAAAAAGATTTATGGTTTTGAATAACCCTACACTAAATGGAAGTCAACTGTCTGTCATAACTGATAAAAATAAACTAATATTAAGACACATTAATTAAAGAAACAGAGTAAGGCCTGGCTCTACTCCACTCATCGATTAGAGTACATCTGGATTATGGTTTAATTTTTAATTAATCCATTCATCCAAAAAATATTTATAGGTTATCTGTTATATACGATGCCATATGCTGGGCATCAAATATGCATTCAGTAACAAGACTCAATGGTCCTAACCTTCACTGAGTTTTTAATTCAGCTAACTAGGAAATTATAGTTGTGATGAGTCATAAAAGGGAAGTAAAGACTGTTATGGCCGAGTTTAGTAGAGAGAACTGATCAAGTACAAAGGACAGAAGGAAGCATCTTGCCAGTAATAGATCCCTGTTTGCATCCCAGGAATATGCCTTGAGGAACTAAAAGAAATCTGGCTCAGTTGAATATTCTTGAGCTGATGGTGTCTTGGTCAGAGTCTTGTCCTTGGTCATAATAGCAGTAAGAAGCATTGGAGAGTGTTTTGTTTTGTGTTTTAATTTTCAGTATTGTGGGGCTTTTAATTGTAATAAAATATGCGTAAGAAATTTACCGTTTTAACTTTTAAGTGTAGAGTTCAGTGACATTAAGTACATTCACGTTATTGTGCAAACACCACCATCTCCAGAACTTTTTCATCATCCCAAACTGAAACTCTGTGCCCATGAAATAATGACTCTTTAGCTCCCCCACCTAGCCCATGCATTGTGGGATTTTAAAGCATGAAAGGATGTACATAATTATATTTACTAGTTTTGTTTGTTATTTTTTTGGGCAATATTTTTGCATGGTTCAAAATTCCAAACCAATAGTACTGAGTATTTACTTTGAAAAATCTCTTTCACCTCAGTTTCCCTCCTTTTAAGCAACTATATGTAGTTTTTATTTTCTATATTTAGTTTTTAATCTTCCCACAGAAATTGTGTGCATTTTCAAGCAAAGGTATATTTTTACATAAGTGGTAGTATATTAAAAACATAAATGTTGTTTTGTACTGTCCTTATTTGTTCTTTTTTGGTATATATAAATAACTTCATTCTTTTTATGGCTGCATGGTATTATTGAGAATATATAATAGTTTCTGAGGTGGTGGGAAATTTAGGGAATTTGCATATAGTGATTTATCTTCTCTGTGAAATGGGAAGGACAGTCATGTGTTCAGAGAAATGGAAAACATAGAGGGTTAAAAGTTTGATGAATGTTGACATGGTTTGAAATTTTGCTTAATGGGAGAATGAGGTAACACGACTAGTGTTTTAGAATTGGTAACAGCACTGAGTAACCACTTGAGATTAGTGATTCTACATCTATAGAGGAAGCAGTCTTTTCTAAGGTACAATTTCCCCAGCAGCCTAGGTACAGGGTTGGAGAAGGCGCCATTGAAGATTCTTTTCCCCCATGAGCTTCTGATGCATAGACTGTGAAATTATGTTATGTTGATCATAACAATGCTAATGTATGGACTCAGAGATCAAAACAAGGTGAGAATGGGTGTGAAGGCAGGAAGGAATTTGTGGATATGGTGAAAGTGGAGCAGTCAGTTGACCGTAGGTCCTGATGGAATAGTAAAGATGTAGTGGGTATAAATGAAAAGGTGGACTAATCTAATTTATCAGGTAGAGCTATTTTTCAGCACTGTTTATAGCTGTAGGAGTGGAATGAATGGTTGGAGCAGATTTTAGAAGGTCATTGGAGGCAAGGAATACAAGGAATTGAGAGGGAACTATAAGTCCTATTTTAAGAAGCATGTTAATAGGTGAAAACATATCTGGGAAAGGGTGACCAGAATAATGAGGGATTTCATAGTCAGCTGAACAAATACCTAATATTATTGATTGCCTGCTATAATTAAGACATTATTTCAGAGATACTTGCAATAGAAAGATGAGAAAGACATAGTGCCTGATCTTAGAAAGCCTGTAGGAATTTTTTTTTTTAAAAAGAAAAGACCTAGAGGGAGTCTGTCTTTAAATATTTAAAGATCTGTCATTTTGAAGAAATTAGACTTTTGTCTTTGTGGCCTCAGAGGGCAAAGCTATTATCAAGGAGTGAAACTTAATAGGCAAGTAGATTTTAGTAATATGAGTAAGAACTTATAAAATATACATACTCATATATATGTACTTTTGAAAATAAAAATATATAACACTGTAGCAATAAAACTGGAAAGGAAAAATACCATAATCTAACTATAGTAACCAGTAAATTATTTTCATTTTTTTCTTTATGTCTACCTTGTCTGTAGATCTAATAATTTTTACATAGTTTTAATAGAGCCTGATTGTAATGCTATCATCTGCTAATTTCACTTAGCATCACCTTGTCTCATGCTTTAAAATTACCTTTGTAAGTTTATTTCCTTTATTTTTACTAACTTATAAGATAGTTTACTGCTTTGGGGGAAATCATTTATATTTAATAAATCAAACAAAGAAAAAAATTTTAATTAGTAAAAAATCAACTAGAATTGCACTATCCAGAGATAACCATTACTAATGTGTTTTGATAACTTTCCCTCTAGGTAGCTTCTCTGCTTAAGTACATAAAGATAGATAATAGATAGATAGATAGATAGATAGATAGATAGATAGATAGACAGACAGACAAGAGCCATATTATACATACTCTTCTGTAATATGCTTTTTCATGTAGCACTATTTTTAGGATATCTTCTATATCAATAACTAAAATATATCATTTTCATGGGCTACATGATATTACCTTTTATATATAAGATACTGTGACATGTATTTTAGATGTATTATCTAGAGTAAACTGAGATTTGGAAAGGTTAAGTAACTTGTCCAGATTACAAAACTAAAAGGTAAAAGAGCAGTAATTAACATCCCCTCCCCCCTTGACACCACCTTCCTTCCATTCCCCTTCCAGTGTTTGAATTATTTGGTAGTTCAGTGTCCATGTTTATATTGACCGAATAAATAGAATAAACGGATTAAATAAATTAACATTCTCTAATAAATCAAGTAGTTGACTGTTTCTTTCTTGGTTGACTTTTAATCTTATAATTATTTCTCCCCCCCCCCCCCCCCAAATCTTTTGGTTTTTCTATATAGCCATCACTTCTTTTTTTTTACTCAAAGACACCAACAGTTCTGTCAACTTCCGAAAAGGTCTTACAAAGCACATAAATAATCTTTTTTTCTTTTTTCCTGGAGGCCTCCCCATCCCATAGCTTTCTGTTTCTACTCCAATCTGGGAGGGGTTTTTCTTTAGGTACTAGAGGCCAGTACATGAAATTAGTGCATGGGTGGGGTCCCTAGGCCTGGCCGGCAATCAGGGCCAATCAGGGCCTTCCAGCTGCCAGCGGGGCCTCCCTTCCCTGGCTGCCGGCCGCCTGCTGGGGCCTTCCTTCCTTCCTTCCTTGCCACCCCCTGGTGGTCAGCACATGTCATAGAGAGTGACAGAACTCCTAGTCTCCCGCTGAACTCCCACGGGGACACTTTGCATATTAGCCTTTTATATGTATAGATGGTGAAGAGCCATCGTCCTGTGTTTTCTGTTGCCATTTACTCTATTAGATTCCCAAATTCCTGAATTCCATCACTTTTTTTCTGAATTTATTTTCTGGTCTTCTTTTTAATACTTTATTATGGAAAAATTTCAATAGTATAATGACACCCCCACTCCACCCCACCCCAATGTACTCTTCTTCATCAGCTTTGACATTTATCAACACATGACCACTCTTGGTTTACCTATACTCCCATGTACCCTCACTACCCTGTGTTGTTTGGAAAAAAAGCCTAGATATCACATTTTGTGCATAAAATACTACAGTACATATCTCTAAATAGTAAGGACTCATTTAAAAAACTTATAATACCTTTATCATGCTTAAACAATTAAAATTAATAATTTCTTAATATTTTAAGAATATAGTAAGTGTTCAAATTTCCAGTTATCTTGTGAATGTCATAAATTTGTAGTTCTTTTTTTAAAGTTTCTTTCCCCATCATTTGTTTGAATCAGTGCCTAAAATAAGACTCATGCATTATAAATGATAAATATCTCTTATGTCTCTCTTTTTAAAAAAAATATATTTCTTTATTGACTTCAGAGAGGAAGGGAGAGGGAGAGAGAGATAGAAACATCAATGATGAGAGAGAATCATTGATTGGCTGCCTCCTGCACGCCCCCTACTGGGGATGGAGCCCGCAACCCAGGCATGTGCCTTTGGCCGGAATCAAACCTGAGACCCTTCAGTCCGCAGGCCGACGACCCAGCTAGGGCTCTTATGTCTGTCTTAATCTCTGGATTTAGTCTCTTAATCTTTTCTATTTCCTTGTTTTATTCATTTATTTTAACTTTCTAAATAAGCTAAGTTACTGTCATCTGGATTTTACAGTTTGTGTGGTGCTGTTTAACATGCTCCTTTTTTTGTTGTTGTCTTTCCCTCCATTCCCACTTTGCTGAGAGTTTTTCTCATAAATGGGTGCTAGATTTTATCAAATGCTTTTTCCTGCATCTATTGATATGCATGTGATTTTATCCTTCATTGTATTTATGTGATGTATCACATTTATTGATTTATGAATATTGTACTAGCCTTGCAATCCCACTTGATCCATTCAAAGGAAAATAATAAGTCAACAGAAACTCTTGAAAAATATCTGATGACAGATCTCATAGGAAAAGACTAAGACAGTTGTCTTAAAGATGCTCAAAGAACTGAAGGAAGGTGTGGAAAAAGTTAAAAAACAGATGTGTAAACATAAAGGAAATAATAATAAAGAGATAGAAACCAAATTTTAAAATCCGACCACGGGTTTAGTAGATCCACCAGATCTAAATATTTATATTTCAACCCTTGCCTTAACACCTGTCCACAGTCCTTGGTGCTTCCAACTCCTGATTTTCGTGGAGGTCTAGGGGGAAAGTTACCTTTTGCAAGCATTTTAAGTTGTAGCTTCCTTTCTTTACCAAGTCAGCTGCCTGCATTGACTTCTACCAGTAAACATTGTATCCCCCATTCTCTCTTTCACAAGTGGGTTGTTGTTGTTTTTTTATTTCCTTTGCTGTGGGTGCCAGATCATACCTCCCAGGGTGTGGAGATGTTTTAGGTGGTTTGGTTGCTGACTGGCTGGGGTACTGGCAGTTAGTGCCTCGTTAGGGCTACATCTGATAAACTCGCTGCCGGCCCTGGGAGCCCACCCAGAATCGCCAGTGGTCGGCAGAGTGACCAGTTCACCCAGCCTTGCATGAACTCAGTGTAAACAGTACGTTTAGACACTAGTATTTCCTATGGCTGAAAGTTATGTGTAATCTTATTCATAACTATTTCTCAAGCTGAGCTTTTTGAAACTAATTTGCATTAAAAAAAATAGCAGTAAAAGCAGTGCCATGGCTCCTACCATTTAAAGGAAGAACACACTGGGTAAATTGTTTTCTGACTGCATGTTCTTTTCTTCATATTAACAGATATTTTGGTAAAAGGTCTCAGTGGGATTGTAGAGGGGCGTCAAATCTTAATGAACTGCATCAGTTATTAAGTGACATAATGATTAGAAGGCTAAAGACTGATGTTTTAACCCAGCTGCCCCCTAAAATCAGACAGCGTATTCCTTTCGACCTTCCATCAGCAGCAGCCAAGGTGAGAACCCTTTTTGATTGAAAGTCTTATTTTAAACCATTTTAAATTATACTAAGAAAGGTTGTACATATTTCATATTGTACAGGAGGAAAAGTCTGCTTTCTTAAAATAGATTTAATTAATAGAGCATATGTATTGGCTTCGTATTATTTTGAGAACCGAGCAGGAAGAATTTAACTTTAGTCATATAATGTGAAAAGATTCAGTATCCTAGTGATTAAAAAGTATATTTCTGCTGAATATAGAAAAAAAGTAATTCAATTACAACAAAGATTTAGTATTAAGAATTCTGAGTTTCTGTAGGGTGTGAAGCAAGGGAAGTTGTGTTTCTTCTTCTAGGATTTTTTTATTTTTAAGTATAAGTAGCTGTCCTTTAAAATAACTTAGATACAGCCCTGTTCTTGCAATCTTAAAACTCTGTGATCATGTAAGATGTGAAGTTAAACATATCAGAAAGCCAAATTGTATTTAGCAAATCTTTATATACATTTTTGGTAGTGCAATGCTTATATATTCTCTGAAATTTCTTCAAATCTTGGCATAACTTTGTTGACAAAGATTATTTATTGCATTGTGTTATTTTGAAATCTTAGAGTAAGCATTCTATAAACATTGAGCAATATGTTATTGGAAAAATAAGAATAATCCAATTTCCTTTATCCACTATTTTAGCATTTGAAAGAAAAATAAGAGAATGTATGATTATATTATATTTTTATTTAACTAATATCCCCCAAGTCTTTTGTTTGATTTTATTTAAGTAACATCATATCTCTTTATAAAAATAGTTTGCTACCATATACATCTTCACTGCGCTTTTTTCTTATGTATTTACATTTTTATGTTTACTTTACAAAATGTTTTCCCTTAAGAGGAAGCTGCAATTGTTTGGTTTATGATGTTAGCAAAGGTTTTCACCTACAGCGTATCGTTAGTTCCTGCCATTGGTGTGAACATGTGACTAAGCTGCCTCCATGTCTTTAAATGAACACATTGGCATCTTAGGGAGTTTTCTTTTTATATTTTTATATATATGAAAGAAGTTAGGACATGATTCATTACTGCATTCATTGTTCTGTTCTTTATGCTTCATGTCTAAACACTGTTGCTTTCTCCCACACAGGAATTGAATGCCAGCTTTGAAGAGTGGGAAAAATTAATGAAAGCTCCAAATTCCGTTGCCACCGAGACTGCTATGGGGTTGATTACTCGCATGTTTAAACAGACCGCTATTGCCAAGGTACTCATTGCTGGGCCATCGTGTGTGTGTCTTGATACAAATTATTTAATGTACTTTGATGGTTTTACTTAAGCAGCTTATTTGCATATTGTAACATTTCTGCCATTTTATTTTTTAACTCTTTATAATGAAAAACATTTAGACATATTCAAAGTAAACAATAGTATATTGAACACCATTATACTATTATCCATATATTGACTCTTTCCAATAAAAGGGTACACTTTGATGGTATTTTATACGTTAAAGGATATACATATATTCATCTTCATTATCAGCCTTTTCTATGGTTCTACTGCATAATTGCTACAACTAATCTTTGTAATTTCTCAATTATTTTTTATTGGTATTATGTTTTTAGTTCCCTACAGACATAAACGTGAGCATGTTCTGTTTGTCTAAAAAGTGTTAGAGTTTTGGTACTGGCCAGGTGGCTCAGTTGGTTGGAGCATTGCCCTGTACCCCAAAAGACTGCAGGTTCAATTCTTGGTCAGGGCACATACTTAGGTTGCTGGTTCAACCCCTGGTCGGGGCACATTTGGGGTGCGCATCCGATCAATGTTTCGCTCTCATGTTGATGTTTCTCTCTCCCCTCCTTTCTCTCTCTCTAAAGTCAATACAAACTTATCCTCGGGTGAGGATTAAAAAACATTTTTTTAAGTGTTAGTTTTTAAATCTCAGTGTGCCCATGAATTAGACTCATCACATGTTGTTGTTTCCACCAGCATGTGGAACTTAAAAACATCCTAAGGAGTGCTATCCCTCTCCCAATTCTGAAATATTTTATAACATAATTTTTAAAGTGAGGTTTATTAAGGTACAATTTACATACAGTGAAATTTTTTCTTTTAAAAAGTATAAATTGATGAGGCTTAACAAATCCTATATAATAAAAGGCTAATATGCAAATAGACCGAGTGGCAGAACACCCAGAACAACTGAACAACGGGTCTCTATGATGTGCATTGGCCACCAGGGCGTATGGGCAGAGCATGGCGGGCACCAGCCGTGGTAGGATGGTGGAGCAGGTGAGCGGGGGCACCAGACCAAGGCGGGGTGCTGGTCGCTGCCATCAGGGCAAGCCTCTGGTGGTTACTGAAAATTCTTTGCTCCCACGCGTTGCGGTCCCACCTGGCGCTCGCACCTGCTGCTGGCGCTGGAGCCGCCACTCGCACCCACTGCCAGTGCCTGCCCCGCTCTTACCCGCAGCCGGCGCCAGAGCCGCTGCTCACACCTGCTGCTAGTGCCTGGCACTGGTCCTGATTGCTCGGCGCCATCAGCAGGTGCAAGAGGCAGCTGCAGGCCCTGATCGCCCCTGAAGGCTTCTCCACCTCCCCCTGCTCCTGAAGCGCACTCGCTGCTGGCACTGGCCCCAATCTCTCCATGCCTTCAGTGGGTGTGAGCGGCGGTGGCAGGAGAGGGGCTGCCTACAGACAGGGGCCTGGGGGGGGGGGGGGACCTTGGTGGGAGGGGCCAGGCGGGGTTGCAGAGGATAGGCCAAGACCCACTCCTGTGCATACTGCAGCCTCGAGGCCAACAGTTCCTTTCAAGGTGCACGAATTCGTGCACTGGGCCCCTAGTGTGTGTGTGTGTGTGTGTGTGTGTGTGTGTGTGTGTGTACATATATATATATATATATATATATATATATATATATATATATAAATATATATATGAAATTAGGTAATTATCAGTACAATCAAGATAAAGAATAGTTTCATTATGTACCTTTTATTTTTCAATTAATTTCTAAAATAGTTTCCTTAAAATAATTTCCCTAAAATAGTTTCCTTATATACCTTTTATTTTTCAATTAATTTCTTTCTTTTTCTTTCTTTTATTTTTTTCCATCACCATTTATCTCTTCCATACCCTCTTCTACTCCACCCACCCACCTCCCCCTGCAATCACCAGACTCTTGTCCATGTCCATGAGTTCTTTCTCTCTTTTTCTTTTTTTCTCAATTCTTCCACCACCACCCCTAACAGTCCCCCCACCCCAGAGCTGTCTGCCTGCTCTCCATCTATGAGTCTGTCTATTTAACTTGTTAGTTCCTCATGTGCCTTTGCAGTCATCTCCCTCCCATGCAGCCCTCGACCTTGGCAGTCACAGGTCTGCTTCTATCACTCTAGTTTTGCTTTTCCCCGAATGTCACAAAAATGGAGTCACATAGTAAGTAGCCTTATGTCTAGCTTCTTTCACTTAGCATCAATAAAGCTTTTGAATGTTGACAGGTTTTTGCATGTCATTAGTTTTTTCACTTTTATTGCTGAATAATTTTATAATATATGGATACTACAATTTTTAAAAATTTCTTTACCAACTAATGGCCATTTGGATTGCTCTTAGTTTCAGCTATTATGAATAAGCCTGTTATAATCATTCATGTACAGATATTTGCATGGACATTGTTTATTTTCCTTGAGTAAATAACTGGAAATGGGACATCTGGGTCATATTTTAAATTTTAGTTTATCTTTATAAAAATCTGCCAAATTGGCCCTAGCCCAGTGATGGCGAACCTATGACACGTGTGTCAGAGGTGACATGCGAACTCATTTTTTTGGTTGATTTTTCTTTGTTAAATGGCATTTAAATATATAAAATAAATATCAAAAATATAAGTCTTTGTTTTACTATGGTTGCAAATATCAAAAAATTTCTATATGTGACATGGCACCAGAGTTAAGTTAGGGTTTTTCAAAATGCTAACACGCCGAGCTCAAAAGGTTCACCATCACTGCGCCTATTTGGCTCAATGGATAGAGTGTTGGCATGTGGACTATAGGGTCCCAGGTTCGATTCCAACCAAGGGCATATGCCTGGGTTGCGGGCTCAATCCCCCCCCCCAGTAGGGGGCATACATGAGGCAGCCAATCAATGATTCTCTATCTCTCTTCCTTCCTCTCTGAAATCAATAAAAAATAAAATTTTTTAAAAAGCTGCCAAATTGTTTTCCAAAGGGCTATACCATTTTGCATTTCTATAGGCAAATGTATGAGATTTCCAGTTGTTCCATATTTTGTCAGCACTTGGTATTATTAGTCATTTTAATTTCTGCTGTTCTGGTATGTAGTGGTACCTCATTGTTATTTTCATTTGTCTTTTCTTAATGGCTAATGGCATTGAACATGTTTTCATGTGCTTTTCAACTAGTAATTTTCTTTTGAAAAGTGTCTATTCTTATCAAGCCCAATTTATATTGAATAATAAGAGCTCTTAATATATTTTAGAAACAAGTCCTTTAACATACATGTCATTTCAAATATTTTTTCCAAGTCTGTGAATTTCATTTTTATTTTCTTAACATTGTCTATGAAAGAATAGAAATTTTAAATTTTGAAACAGTCCAAAATTTATCTAGTTTTTCTTTTATATTTTGTGCTTTTAGAATCCTAATTAATTTTTGCTTTATCCAAGTTTACAAAGATTTTCTCCTATGTTTTCTTCTAAATGTACTATAGCTTTAGGGCAGCGGTTCTCAACCTGTTGGTCGCAACCCCTTTGGGGATCAAACGACCCTTTCACAGGGGTTGCCTAAATACATCCTGCATATCAGATATTTACATTACGATTCATAACAGTAGCAAAATTACAGTTATGAAGTAGCAACGAAAATAATTTTATGGTTGGGGGTCACCACAACATGAGGAACTGTATTAAAGGGTCGCGGCATTAGGAAGGTTGAGAACCACTGCTTTAGGGTATACATGTAGGTCTATGCACTATTTTGAGTTAATTTTTTTGTATTGTACAGAGTAAGGGTGGAGGGTGACTTGTTTTTGCTTTGGGGTTTTTTGCATATGAGTTTTCAGTTCAGCATTCTTTGTTGGAAAGATTGTTTTTCCATCATTAAATTATCTTGGCAGTTTCATAAAAAATCAGTTGGTTATATATGTGTGGGTCTGTTTCTGGGCTTCCTATTCTGTTCCATTGATCGTACTGTACATATAACCTTACAGAACACCAAAGTGGCTTGATTATCTCTATAATAAGTCCTGAAATCACATTGTGTTTAGCCCTACTTTATTCTTTTTCATAATTGTTTTGTCTACTGTAGGCCCTTTGCTTTCCTTTATGAGTTTGAAAATTAGCCTATTAAGCCCTGACTGGGTGGCGCAGTTGATCAGAACGTCGTCCTATACACCAAAAGGTTGCAGGTTCACTTCCTGGTCAGAGCACATACCTAAGTTGCAGATTCGATCTCCAATTGGAGAGCATATGGGAGGCAATCAGTTGATGTATCTCTCTCTCTCTCTCTCTCTCTCTCTCTCTCTCTCTCTCTCTCTCTCTCTCCCATCCTCTCTCTTTAAAAAAGTCAATAAAAGCATATCCTCGGTAAGGATTTAAAAAAAATTTAGCTTGTTAAGTGTGTACAATTATGATTGGTATTTTTTTGAACCTGTAGGTTAATTTGGAAGAATTATCTTCTTTTAAATTGAGGTATAATTGGCACATATTTTCTTAGTTTCAGGTGTACAACATAATGATTTGATATTTGTGTATATGGCAAAATGATCACCACAATAAATATAGTTAACATCCATCACTATATATACTCACAAAATATTTTTTCTTATGGTGAGGATCCTTAAGATTCACTCTCTTAGAAACTTTCAAACTTAGAATACAGTATTATTTAAATACTAGAGCCGGCCTGCACCCTCTCGCAATCCAGTACTGATGGCTCCTAACCACTCGCCTGCCTGCCTCATCATCCCTAACTCTTCTACCTGCCTGCCTGATCACCACTAATCGCCTCTGCCTGCCTGCCTGATGCCCCTAACTGCTCCCCTGCTGGCCTGATCACCCCTAACCGCTCATCCCTGCTGGCCTGATCACCCCTAACCACTCTCCCCTGCTGGCTTGATCACCCTTAACTGCTCTCCCCTGCCAGCCTGATTGCCCCTAACCACTCCCGGTCGAACTCCTGCTGGGATGCTTTGCATATTAGTCTTTTATATATATACTAGTGGCCTGGTGCACGAAATTTGTGTACG